AAGACGTTGACAAATTCAGTATTGTTACGCCATTTGAGATAACGCATACGACAAGTATTACATATTGATCCAGACTCTGGTAAAAACATATTTGTTCGTGCCGAAACAAAAAGTCGCATTGCAATGCCATGAAACGGACGATGATTCTTCGGATCAATGCGACCATTACAACAAACGCATTCGATAACCATTTTTATATAAGTGACTGTGAGGTTTTCCGCTAATTATCCGTTACTTCTGCCCCCGTAATACACGTAAGCCGAAAGATAATTAGCAAAATTCCTGGTCTGTATACGACTAGAAATCTCACCTAACTATGTCCTACCTTAACCTTGATTATTAATAACATCCCCACGCAATAATGGGTTTAAGATCTATAAGTTTGTTTATTGAAGATGTACGTATGCTGAGGTAATAATGAAGATAATATACACAATATTGGAGAGGAACGAATAAGTTCAACTGCAAAAAAGGTAGAAAAAAAAATAGTATTAATGAACCAGAGAGAACAAGATAGCGAGACGGCACAAAGGCACTACCAATTAGAATAACAAAAAGGCCACAAAAGAGACCTGCAGACAAAAACTAGGTATATATAAGGAAAAAAGATAGCCACAGACCACATGAAACAGGAGAACGAGAGTCGATGAATAAGGGACACTTTAGTTAAAAGTAAGCTTCCATATAGTGTCATCTGTCGACGCTAACAGTGACTCTTATTATGTTTAGTAGAAAAGTAATTATCCTCTTTTTTTTCCTCATTGCCTGTATACAACGGGTATTTTCACGCACGTTGTTTCTTTATTCATGCATATCACGCAAATAATTTCTTACACTTACACTATACTCCCCTCTTCAAAAATAAGTCCTTCAAAACAGAACTCTGAAATATTTCGTCTCCTCTCATCAACTAAATTCATGAGCAGACTTCGAAGATACATCATCAGTATATGTGCCCTTTCTGAAGACAAAGTCTATATTAAACAGTATTCCCCATGCCGTACATACAATACAGTCGTTTTGCCACCACTTGCTCGGGCACTTTTGTAGCTCTCAATGATTAGTATTGACCCTGAAAGAATGGCTCCGGTTCTGCGTCATATAGTGGAGATCGAAAGTACGCAAGCCTCTCAGTATAGTACATTGATGAATATTGGGGGTGGTATGCATCACATAAAAAATCGAAGACAAGGTTTCTGCAGGCACTTGTTCGGGCACTTTTGTAGCTCTCAATGATTAGTATTGACCCTGAAAGAATGGCTCCGGTTCTAAATCAAATAGTAGAGATCGAAGGTACACAAAGTTCTCGGTATAGTACCTGGATCAATATTGGGGGTGGTATGCATCACATAAAAAACCGAAGACAAGGTTTCTGCAGGCACTTGTTCGGGCGCTTTTGTAGCTCTCAATGATTAGTATTGACCATGAAAGAATGGCTCCGGTTCTGAATCAAATAGTGGAGATCGAAGTTACACAAGGTTCGAAAAAAGCCTGAATATGACCACGTATTAAGAGTATTCGAAATTTGTTGTAGTGAATTTTTGGTTTTTACTCGTAGACATCTATACGTTTCTTGTTCAGAATTAAATTCTCTATCGAATGGTATGTAAATCGACTGTGAAAGCATGTATATACTTCGTCTAAAATAAGTGATTCTTTGATCCTTAGAAGGTTCAATACGGCCTATATGGCTGAGTACCAATGTAACGGAAAAGGTTGACCGATCAAGCTGAAACTTATAGGAATGATTACTGACTATGAACCCTACAATTGCTGAAAGTTTCATGTAAAACTATAAGTGCTTTCTAGAGGGGCCGATTTCAACGCAAAACGTCTCCCGTCCTTTCATGCATCATTATATTTTTCGTGTACTTTACTGAGTACTCATAAGAGTTGTCTTTCTAAGATTTACTCGCGGAAAGAATGATGAGTACTCAATGTAATACTCATCCTCATATTTAACCAAAAGATTTAAAAAAACACTAATGCACTAGCATATACGAAAATGGATTCAAGTTGTTTAAAAAAAGAAACATAATTTAATTAAATAAAAAATAGAGAACACTTGTTTTAATTGCTTATCTATTTTATCCTCCACTCTTTTCTGATGAGTCATCAATACTGCTACGATGAATGAATATTTAAATACAAATAAATCAGTTCGTAAACTCGATTTAAAAATTTTTTATTATTGCTTCAATGAAGAAGAATGTATGAGATGCTCTCATTCACCATTAGGTATTCAATGCTAAGTGCTTTTCATTCATGTAAAAACTCGTCAAAGTATTATTAGTTTTTGTCAAAAATATGATCAACCTTCAAGCATTACACATCAAATGCGAGGATGAAATGTCCAATAAACGATTAACATTAAAAGAAAATAACAATGAAAAATTTTCTGATGAAAATATAAAAAATAAAGATGAATTTGGTCATCGATTAAAGAACCATTTACCATCAACATGTTTAGTTGTCAAAGATCCAGACTCAATCATTCTCATTCGGATATGGATTTAATAATGACAATGACAACTACATATACCCATCAATTAATCATCCATAGATATTCTTTCAATTGATGTATTCATTAATAACCATTGTGTTCATGTTAAACATGATTTCTGCTTATAAAAATAAAGTAACATTTGTCCAGAAATTGATATTAAATGTTTTTTTGTTATGTACAATACAGTTTTCGCACTAATTATATCTATAAAGGCCACGTCAAAATTACCATCGTAAGAATTATAAAATTATGGGTTCTAGTAGAATAATAAATCCTTGTGTACAAATCATAAACTCTTTTCATCGTCATAAACCCTAAGTTTTTATTATTCTACGTTTTGTTTTTACAATGTAGCTCGAGATGTTGATGCTACTGTAAGTACGATGGATGTGTGGTAGAGAAGAGAAAGTGAATCATGAGTGTGCTTTTTGTTTATCTGATAACAGCCAGTATTGACTCAATAACAGCTTCTCACTCGCACTGTGCATAAGATGCTTCTTCCACTGCTTGTTGTTGTCATCTTACTGTTGATGTATTATGTGAAACTCAAATATTTTACTCTACGTGGTCCCATACCCGGTTTATCACCGCACATTTTATTCGGGAATTTGATTCAGTCGGGTTCTCTGCTAGGTGGTGCAATCCTTTGCGAGGTCTTATTAGAATTCAAACGTCGTTTTGGTGACATTTATCAACTTTGGCTCGGTTCTTCACATTTCATTGTCGTGAGTAACATTGTCGACGTACAGCACATATTTACCCATCGAAATCTCTATGATCAAGCCGATATGACTATTGATAAATTTGGTGTCATCTTTCCTAACAGCCTCGTTTCCATCAAAGGTCAGTTTCTCTTCTCTCTGATTGGAGAACTCTTCTATTGTCATCATTAGGTGCCCAATATAAACGACATGCCTCATGTTGTATGGCCTTGTTTCGACGTGGCAAGTTTATCCATAATTTCGATCTGATTGTTGATTGTGTGGACAAACTATTAGACAGATGGCGTCTCAGTTCCGCTCAGCAAGTGCATTGCGACATTGTCCATCAAAGCGAAAATCTTTTGCTTACCATCTTTGGATTGATCTTCTTTGACTACGATTTGGAGACGCTTAATCGTGACAATGTCAAATGCAATAATGAGCTCGCTGATGCGCTAAAAGACTTTTTGAGCACATTTCAAATGGTTCTCCGTGCACCGCGTATCCTTTCTGTTGTCTACTTGAAATTGAGTCGTCGACACAAACGGGCACAAAGAATCATCGAACGATATCTCAATGAAATAGTCGAAAGGGAATTAACTGAGACTTCAGAGTCGGTGGCACAACGAAAGAGAACATCAGTAATTGCTTCACTTGTCGCCTCCCTGCAAAAGGACGAAAAAATCGAAGCGACAAAAAGTGAAGAAAAGAAAAAAGGTAAGATTTTCTCTGAAGCTATCTAGTTAAGGGTGTGTCTACTTGAAAAATACCATTTCACTCTTGACTTGGGAGTTTTATGTTTAATCAGACGTAGTGATGATATTGCTGTCTATGCATATTAACAGGCCTGTCTCGAAGTGAACTCTTGAACGAGATGCTTCTCTTTTTGGTGGCCGGCTTTGACACGACCTCCACTATTCTTGCTTGGTTTATTCATTTCATGAGCAAACATTCTCGAATGCAACATAAAATCAAGGCAGAACTGATCGGTGAAAGTAGCAAACAAGAATTGTCACTAGATCGACTCGACTCATTAGTCTATTTGGATTGCGTTATCAAAGAAGTATTACGCTGTGCGCCCAACAGTGGAACATTTCGTACATTGACCGTTGACGATCGTTTACCGGAGACTGGTGCCCAACTCTTCAAAGGCGATCAAATATGGATTCCGCTTCATAACCTAGCGCAAGACACTCGACATTGGAAAACTGACCCGAAACTGTTCTATCCCGAGAGATTTCTCGGTGAGGATAAGAACTATAATCCATATGCACTCATCCCATTCGGCAGTGGTCATCGTCAATGTATTGGAGAAGATTTGGCTCTTTTTGAGCTCAAGGTAATCACAGCGAGACTGATGCAAAATGTCACATTCGGCGATGGTGGTCCTCAAGTTAATGCAGGTGGATATTTGCCAAGGCTCACTGTCATGCCTCGACATGTCGGTGTCACCATTAAGTTCGATCAATGAAGATAAATATACTTTCTTCTTTATCATTAGTTCTACTATTAACATGAACAAGAACAGACTATATCTTATCTATCAATAGATGGGTTGCTATCACTTTGCCGACACATGACTTTGTCAACAAATTGCTTTGCCGACACTTCATTTTGCTGACAAAATTTGTCCGTATCCTAGCCTACTATATCTGGCAGCTTCTTGAGGGTGAGGGTGAGGATATGATTGGTGGGGAGAGGGCGGGATGAGCTGTCATGATTGTGCTGCTCAACATTAAATTTGTGGGTGTGGGTGTGGGTGTGGATGGGTGTGGGTGTGGGTGGGTGGGGGTGTGGGTGTGGGCGTGGGTCTGGGGGCGTGGGCGGCGCGCGGGCGGGGGGGGGGGCGGCCGGGGGCGGGGGGCGGGCGACGC